AACATTATAACCTAAATAATTGATTTCAAGGCTTTTGGAGGATGATTTGGAGATGGCATGCATGATAACACAGCCACATTTAAAAACCACATATAACCATATGTTTCATTCAAATCTTCTGCATTTTAGTTGATAGACATTTCACTGGGCCTGGAGGCCACAGAATACCAAACATTGCACAGGAGCCACTGGTTCATCACGTACATCATCACCTCGTATCAGGTGGACTTAAGGACGGGTGCCTTTCTGCCAAAATAAACACTGTTTCGTCAGCGTTGTAACTAAAGCTCTGCTCAGCTGCAGGGCTCTCAGCAGTCACTCGGTGGGGCATTCTGGTGTGGCTGGTGAGAGCATGAGGGGCGTGGATCTAAAATGGAAGACATCCTGGTTATAGCAGTGGCCGATACAGTGTTGACAAGTGTTACTCAGCCTCGATTAATAAGTCAAGCTCTCGTTGGGCTTAAGAGAGGAGGGGTATGAAAGACAAACCATTCCAATAATATTGCACTTTTACAGCAGTCCTCTGTTAAGCAGTCCCAAACCACCACATGTCTAAAAGGTTTATGTTAAATGAAATCCAACCATGTAATCTAATAATACCAACAGTGCATGTGGTAGTGTAAACATGTGCCTCAGGTCTTTACAATTATCCAGTAGTCAGCTTACTGTGAACCAAGCTTAATGAGAAACTCCACGAAATAAGCATGTGCTTGTACTTATTCGCCTACTTACCTTCCTTATGAAATGGATTTTTTCGGGGGTGAAAGTCACTGTCGATGTTGAAGGGAAGTGGGGAGATGGGAGAGGGTGGTTTACCAGTGGGCTGGTTATTTTGAAATCCTGACACTATAGTAATGACCCTGTAAAGAGTGGTATGTGTGACATGCACAAATTATGATCGAGACCGTGTTTTGCTTTTCTGCCATGTCTGCCCCCTTGTGATAGGAGATACAACACTTTATATGATTTTACTCACATTTAACTTCAGAAATAAAGGTATTGTTTTGCCCTTCAGTTTACATCCCAAAGTCTCAGACCAGTATACTTTTTTTTTGTATGTGTACATTTCAATACGCCCTTTTCCAATGTAGGAATAAAGATTAAACACATGGAGGCGCTGTTGAACAAGTGAATTAATTCACATCAGTGTACCTGTGCTAACTGAGCTGTTATATGGATGAATATTGCACACCAGAGATATTAGTTAAAAGGGTGGGCTGCAGCTATGTAGCTATTAAAGTTAAGCTATGTTTGAATCCAGTTTGTTTAGACTAGCTTATTATACAGGTTTGTAAAATTAAAATGTAGGTGAGGAGGCTGGCATATAGTGTAAGGATTGTGTGATCTCCAGTTTAAAGGTCAAATATATCATTAATCTTTATTTCATGCTAACTTTTATGCCATGAAAAATAGCAGAAATGGAGTCAATAATAACCCAGGACATTTTCTGGAATCCGTTTTCATAGTTTTGATTCTTGGTGTGTCTTTAATTACTTGCTACTTCATGTATTTGATTTGATAATTAAACCATCATGATAAAAATTGAATTAGAAAATACTGATTGAAGGAAAAAATACGAAAAACATTTATACATATACACAGACTTGCAAACAAAAGATAGTCAGAAGCTCACACCAGCTTCTTTGTCTAAATTCTTTCCGCTTCTCACTAATGTGTTGAGCTTTTGGCATTTGAGTTTGACTTAAACAATAACACAACATTTAAGATATTTTTCATTTTGCATGATGAAAAAAAGAACTGCATGAGTATTAAATAAACCTGGAACAAAAAGGTAACCTAATGGAACATTTTCATAATACCTTGGTAAGAACCACCTCATTGAATCAGTCAACATACTTTCAGTATGATGTAACTTGATCTTATCAGAAAATGTCAACATTCATTTTAAATGAAAATTTGAAAAAATTGTGACCTGTTAGCTGGTTAAAAGTCACTCACTGGCTACAAGTTCAGTGTTTACTCATTTAACACTCACCTTTTCAGGACACATAGAGCTAATCAATCATACTATAATATTCTACAATGTCTTTCAGCTTGCATGTCACTGACACATAATGAGAACAAGGAGGGGAGGACTGATCCCACTTGTGCTAAAATTAATTTCTTTCTGATGGTAAACCCTCAGAATTGTGAAATATAAGACCTACAGTGCCTTGCGAAAGTATTCGGCCCCCTTGAACATTTCAACCTTTTGCCACATTGCAGGCTTCAAACAAAGATATAAAACTGTAATTTTTTATGAAGAACCAACAACAAGTGGGACACAATCATGAAGTGGAACGAAATTTATTGGATATTTCAAACTAACAAATAAAAAACTGAACAATTGGGCGTGCAAAATTATTCAGCCCCCTTAAGTTAATACTTTGTAGCGCCACCTTTTGCTGTGATTACAGCTGTAAGAGACTGAAATTTTTGCCCATTCCTCCTTGCAAAACAGCTCGAGCTCAGTGAGGTTGGATGGAGAGCGTTTGTGAACAGCAGTTTTCAGTTCTTTCCACAGATTCTCGATTGGATTCAGGTCTGGACTTTGACTTGGCCATTCGAACACCTGGATATGTTTATTTGTGAACCATTCCAGTGTAGATTTTGCTTTGTTTTGGATCATTGTCTTGTTGGAAGACAAATCTCCGTCCCAGTCTCAGGTCTTTTGCAGACGCCATCAGGTTTTCTTCCAGAATGGTCCTGTATTTGGCTCCCTCCATCTTCCCATCAATTTTAACCATCTTCCCTGTCCCTGCTGAAGAAAAGCAGGCCCAAACCATGATGCTGCCACCATGTTTGACAGTGGGGATGGTGTGTTCAGGGTGATGAGCTGTGTTGCTTTTACGCCAAACATAACGTTTTGCATTGTTACCAAAAAGTTTGATTTTGGTTTCATATGACCAGAGCACCTTCTTCCACATGTTTGATGTGTCTCCCAGGTGGCTTGTGGCAAACTTTAAACGAGACTTTTTATGGATATCTTTAACAAATGGCTTTCTTCTTGCCACTCTTCCATAAAGGCCAGATTTGTGCAGTATACGACTGATTGTTGTCCTATGGACAGAGTCTCCCACCTCAGCTGTAGATCTCTGCAGTTCATCCAGAGTGATCATGGGCCTCTTGGCTGCATCTCTGATCAGTCTTCTCCTTGTATGAGCTGAAAGTTTAGAAGGATGGCTGGGTCTTCGTAGATTTGCAGTGGTCTGATACTCCTTCCATTTCAATATTATCGCTTGCACAGTGCTCCTTGGGATGTTTAAAGCTTGGGAAATCTTTTTGTATCCAAATCCAGCTTTAAACTTCTCCACAACAGTATCTCAGACCTGCCTGGTGTGTTCCTTGTTCTTCATGATGCTCTCTGCGCTTTAAACGGACCTCTGAGACTATCACAGAGCAGGTGCATTTATACGGAGACTTGATTTCACACAGGTGGATTCTATTTATCATCATTAGTCATTTAGGTCAACATTGGATCATTCAGAGATCCTCACTGAACTTCTGAAGAGAGTTTGCTGCACTGAAAGTAAAGGGGCTGAATAATTTTGCACGCCCAATTTTTCAGTTTTTTATTTGATAAAAAGGTTTGAAATATCCAATAAATTTCGTTCCACTTCATAATTGTGTCCCACTTGTTGTTACAAAAAATTACAGTTTTATATCTTTATGTTTGAAGCCTGAAATGTGGCAAAAGGTCAAAAAGTTCAAGGGGGCCGAATACTTTCGCAAGGCACTGTATTTATCTAACATGTCTTCACTATATTACTTAATCCTACTATACACATTTATCTGAACATCTCGAGGTTGACGTTTTCTCTTTTTTGGGACATTAGTATATAAAGTACAGCATCCTTTTTTTTTTTTTTAAATGTCATCTGCATAAAAAATCTCTTCACCCACGATATGAGAAATTTAAATGATTTATTGTATTTTCTTTAAAAAAAAAAAAAACTTTCTCATTGATATTACTTATACATAGTGTATGGTGTATAAAACCTTAATTTTCTTTCTCCATGCTCCTTGTTGTAGTAGATACCAGCTCATAACATTCTGATTTTATCTCCCTAATCTGTAGCCTATATAAATTCACATTAGGCCCTGTTCAACTGCTGAATGGAAAGTGTTGACTCAAAGCGACGCGGGACTGGCTTTATGCGTTGGCAAGACTCTTTAGAAATTACTTGTATTTTAAAAATGTTGAAGAAGATAGAAAAAAAGACTGCAAAACAAACTTCCCATTGTCATCAGCAAGCGGCGATGTAGTTCCGCAGAGTGTGTCCCTTTTACTTTGGCGTTGTCCTGTGGTCCCGGCGTTGGTGACGTCACCAACGCCGGGACCGGCGATCAAGCTAACCGAAGAGAGCAGGATTACACCGGAAATTAAGCGATATTCCTTCAAAATAAAGTTTTTTTTTGCTTCTGCAACGCTGTTGAATGGAAGAAAATGGCAGGAGGGAGAAATAAAGAATGTTTCAATAAGTAGGAACAAATATTAACTAACAATAGTAAATTAATACAAAATAATAGAGGATAAGTAAAAGACAACAAATTAAATTTACAGTCATTACAGCTTTAGTGTGAGATTTAATGGTCTTTAAATACTGCTCACATTTTTTATGGAAAACTGGATAAAAAACTAAACTAACCAACAGTATAGCAACCTACAGTCTATGATAGCAACACGTAGATACTGTTTATACTTGTTATACTTTTTATGCCTCTGTAATAATAATCTATAAATATAACATAAAATTACTTTTTTTTTTAATGCTAGCCCAATGTGTTATTTTTCTTGTAGCCTGCATTTCTTGCTGCAAGCTTTTTTTTCAGAACAGGACCAACATGTCCAAAGCTTCCCCAGTGTAAATGACATCTGTGGTGACACCACTGAAACGTTTTGATTAACATACTGACCGACGGCTGCTGTTACCCAAGTGCTGTTTTAATTTGAAAATTGAGAACGGAAGTTGATAGTTCATTAGGACGGGCTTGACACGGGTGATCGATGTGGAGGCAGTCAGCCTGCGACAGAAAAACAAGCGAGGATAGGTCGGGCAGTACACGACCAGTCCATGTTTTAAAAGAAAGAAATATTGTGAAACCCAAGGATAGGTGGATTTAAACGTCATTTCTGCCGCTTTTACGCGGGCTTAGTTACTTATTGTTTGGTACGCGGGGTCTCGTTTTGGCGTGCTGAGTGTGTCGCCGCTTGCCCATTCTCACTGGAGTGAACACTAAGGTAAGCCTGGAACCGCAAATGAACTGTGTTAAGTTGGTGCAGTTGGACAGGCTACTTTGCCCTCTCAAGCGCTGTTTAAGCGTATTTTTCTTTCGATTTATTTTCTCACGAGAATTTAAATCCCAAACAGTGGTAAAAGTTGGGACAGAAAAAGCAGCTTGCCCGTCTCACTTTCTAGGTTTGACGCTGGGTCTTTGTCCAGTCAGATGTGGTTTAACTAGACGTTGCGCTAGACCCTCGCGTTTGTGCTTGGTACGGTGAAATGGCACACTCTGTATGGCTCATCTTTCCATTCTCACAACTAAAACCGGTAGTTTAAATGGATCTACTCACCACTTTTGCAATATTTGCACTGGGCCACTTCTTAAAGGCCTGTGAGCTGAGGCTGCTGTAGAAAAATACACAAGCAGACATCTCTGTTCTCCAAGACATCTTGTTTTGTTTCACTTATTTTCAACATTTCTTTGCTTTAAAAACACATTTAGCCATTTGTGCGTTACTAGAGTGCATGGCGTGTGTCCGGGCTCCAGTTAAAGACGCAATAGCTTACACAATAACCCCCATTTGCCAAAACACCATAGATTGGCGATTGGTGCCACATGCCGAGCTTGTCAATGTGTCTAGTGGCTCTTCATGGGAACTGCACCACAGATCCTCCCAGTATATATTGGGACTGATATGGTGCATTGTCTTCCGTGCCTGTCTGGAGTAGTTGCACACTAATTGTCCAAACAGTGAGACGTTTTCTTGTTTATTTCTTGAAGAGTTGGGGAGAAATGTATTTCTTTGCCACATGCACTGTGTTGGTAAGGTAATGATTCAGGCCACTTTATGGCACAGTTGTTGGTGCAGGTACACTTTCATGGCACACCTACTCTGCAGACACACCCTCTGTTAAGGACACTATGGTAACACAGGACAAGGTTCACTCAGCAATGACGGGTATGTGGAAGGCAATAATAGACTGCCCTGCCTGTACTAAGGAAACGTTGTATCTTGCATCAGAAGTGTAGAACCCCCAAGGCCAAGGAAATGTTACTCTAAAAGCTTTTGTTTTGAAACCAGACCAAAACTGAAAGGGTTACTACTCATGGGATAAGAAGGAATAAAAAGCAATGCACGATATCAGTGGTGGAAACTAACTAAGTATATTTACTCAATTACTGTATTTAATACTACTTCTCCACTACATTTTAGAGGGAAATATTGTACTTTTTACTCCACTATTGTTATGTGACAGCTGAATTTGAATGCATTTCACTTGGTAAGTTTTCTTTTTTTTATGAGTGCTTCCTCCACCACTGCGTGATAAAGTAGATTTGATGCTGAGCTCCACTCAGTTACACCCTGATTAGTTGGCAGAATATTAATCAGCAGCAGTTATGATCAGGGACGCTGGAAGTCAATCAGAAAATCAATTTAATGACGTACAAGATGCTGTGCGACATTCACGGTTTTTGCATTAATTTGAATGGGCAGGATCATTTACATCTAATGCCGGTCTATATATTATATCTAACAATTTAGAGTTTTTCACAAGCACACAGCAAACATGAATGCCAACATACACCTGGAAGCAACTACAGGAACACTGAACTAATGCTAACAGAGTAACAGCTGGTAACAGAGACTCAAGTCTGTTGTGTAGTTTATAGTTACATCAGGCTTCATGATCAAATGATCAGTTTTTGTTGTCTCCACTTCTGTCCATTTCTATGACCATTCTCTCTCTCCAGGGCAGTACAGTATGTTTAAATATTATTAAGTGAATACTGAGGAAAAAATAGAGCAAGCTGTAGTTACCGGATACCTGCCATAACCTAGATCTATAAGCAAATCACACATCCGGTTTTACTTGTGGTCCATATGTGTCACTGTGCAGTGGCACTATTGTGTTAGTCGATCTGTTTCCAGCTTCTCAAAAGTTTAAAAAAAGAGTATTTGCTGGTTTTCATAGTCCTTTGTGATAGTAAGCTGAATATTGGTCAGACAAAATAAGCAAAATGAATGTCAACTTTGGGAACGTATGCTAACTACTTTTTCTGACATTTTACACACCAAACATTTAACCTATTAACTGAGAAAGTAATTGTTACATTAATCAATAATTTAAAAATTCTCCATAGTTGCAGTCCTACAATGTTCAACTGTATTAATTTGACTTCACAAAAAGGTATTATTAAAGGTATTTGTCAGGAGGTCAAGACTCAGCACATGGCCCTTAAAGTCTCATGTAAGTTGAGCTGTCAACCATTTACTAGTTACTTGTAAATATTAAGAATCCCGAAAGTCAGATACATGTGAAGGCAGAAACCGTTTACCAGCTCTTGAAATCAATTAAGAAAGTCAAAAATCTTGAAAGTTAACCTCCAGGAAGTTGTCCTCAAACAGCTGTCAAAGTAGTTAATATCCGATAAAAACTTATAACACCAGAGTTTACTGTACAAGTTATGGTGTTTATTTTGAGACATAATGGAGAAATGACAAACCACACCCCAGAATAATGCTAAATAATTTGATGTTACTGAATTTCTCTACAGTAATGTGTGTAAGTAATTGCAACAGCCTTCATGTAATGATTAACAAGAAATCTGGGCTGATAAAAAGAACAAACGAGGTTACTGGTTGACTTTAATTATTTACACCTTGCAGTGGCATATTCGTTGACGTATTCACTAGTGACACCATGTGGACCAGTTAAATAAAATGTAGAGGATGGGCTGGTGGTGTCTCACAAAGTTGATCAAGAGAACACAGGATTTCTCGTCTGCTTGCTGAGTAGTTATGCATGGCAGTATTGTCTGCTCGTTATGATGTATTTGGTCTTGAAATACAGACTTTGAAGGAGGCTGAATCAGGACACAAATGTTTCTCATTTTATCAGTTTGACTTGTATGTATGGGCAGATAAACATGCTGGTATTGCAGGCTTTGGTTTTGTGTTACTTCTTAGTGGATGAAGAAGTAAAGCATGAAAACTGAAAGTGATCATTCATAATTTCACTCACAGTCCTGAATTTGTGTAAATACTGCTGTATTTCTGGTTTTGGTTTTAGTTGCTTTTGTTTTTACTGACATTGCAACTGAATCTCTTTTCTTTCACTTGTTGGTTCCCTAAGTCAAACACTTAACACAAAATTTTAATTTTAGCATCATCTTTACAGACGAGAGAATAAGCCCAATCCTTTGTCTTCTTTATATTTGATTGCACAGTTATGAGCTGAGTCTAATTACTCTGCTCATCTCCCTCTCTGATATGATGCTTAATGGGCCTAAAATGTCTTCACACACTGTAAGTGATTAAATGTCACACAGTGCCCACACAACGTTTTGTTCATCTACTGTTTTGAGTAGGAGTTGGAGGAAAAAAAATACGTTAACAGGAAATTGTTTTTTTTGGTACTATTTTGTAGAATAAACTTAACAGTGTTGTTGTACTGAAACGTGAATGAGCTTATTAATTAATTAATAACAAATTCATACTTGAATAATGTAATTGATAGTTAAAATCATTTAACATGGTTATTTGAGGCACGTATGAAATATATTTTTATTTGAATGTGCATGCTGAGAGTAAAGAGGTTTTAAGTTCATTGCATCATCCTTTTCATTTTATGACCAATACTGAACGGATTTTCTCCAGTAAAGTGAACTCTAAATAGATTTGTCACTTTCAAACACTTACAGTAAACATTTATAGTCATTTTTTTTCATGTTTGTGCCCTCAGATGCATATTTTTTATTTCTGTGGACATCCCAAAATAATGCCACTTCATATGACAAGCTGCTTCCCCTTTGTTTATCAAATAGTTCAGTTCTTTTGACATTTTGTGTGTTATCCTACACTTAGAAATAGAGAATAGAGATTGTTGTCAAAATTGGTATTTTGGCTTTGTGGAAAGCGTAATGTTAGCCTCCCACAGGGAATCCTAATCTCCCTAGGAGTAGAGAAGGAATTATTAAGTGCAGGCACAGATGGGCGTGCAGGAAACACAGAGCGATATTCAGAAAGAGCATCGTGTTGGTAGTGAGATAAAGGTCATCCCATTGTCTTTGTAATCGTGTAATCTGGAGAACTGGAAGCCATTAAACGGACAGTAACAATGGACCCCCTTTCTGTGACCCCATGATCTAGGAAGAGAAAGAGGATTTGTGCTACTATTAAGAAAGCACACAATGACCCCTGAACCATTTTCAGAATGTGTATACATAGCCTATATATAACTTCCTGGCGTTTTTGATAATTTCCTTAACACCACGTTGCTGCAGCTCAATAATGCATTTCTTAAATGTTCAGATTTACAGCCACATAAGAATCCATAGATTGCAATGTCATTGTGTTTATGCTAGCATGCTAACATGCTAAAGTAAATTGGTGGCCATGGCAAACATACTGTAAAACTTTGATTAATAGCCCAGGCTTTTATTTGCTAAAATAACTGAATTGACCCTGCCTATATTTGGGACAGGCGTCCATATGGGACAGGCCTTTAATTCCTCTTGCACAAAACTGAAATAGGCTACTATGAAACAGTTTATTTTCAGAATATTACTTGTATAAAAATGATCCAATAATATCAAATAGAGAGGGGCGGGGCAAGCCGGTGTGTTTACCTGAGGTGTAGCCTAGGCCTCTTGTGTGTCTGAGTGTGGGGAGAAGAGTATTCTGAGGAAGGTGCGAAGCATATTTAATTTTATATATTATAATAATAATGTTTGTTAAAACCATCGACCATCTGTCAGCCATCGCCGATGGAAGATGGCATCATCTATCAGCCCAACCCTATTCTTTTCATCTCTTGAACCATGCCGGTTACACTGGTAAATGTATAAGAATTAGACTTTGGGGCTTGTTGTTTCCGTTAAATGAACTGAACGATTGAATTGTGGAGAATCTAACTGATCTAACGATGTGTAGTATGTTCATAAGTTTACGACATATTGATCATACGTTTAAACATTAATGTTTGTATTAACGATCTAAGCCACTTAGAAGCAGCT